GGCTAAAAAAGAACATTGGAGATTAACAAGAAGTACAGAAACATACACATAAAGCTGTGATAGTAAAAAATACAATTTAAATATAAGGCATTTATAACTTTTGTAGAAAAGTTGTAATTATTGTTTCACATACTGATTAGTCATAAGTATAAATAATTAGGCTTGTTTATACTGATTTTCAGTCATTTACACCGCTGATTACCACATTATTTATTCATTTGAACAAACTTTGTCCTCACATGTTTTAATATGAAATAATTTGATTAATATTCTCTGATTTGAAAGAACACAATCGTGAAATTATTCAGATTTTTTAAAATTTGGAATAAATGTATATTTCAACCAGGCTGGTGCATATGATTCATATTAATAAAGATTTTCACATTTTTATCAAAGATTTTGTAAATCATATTAAACACGTATTAAGCTTTTCTCTCCCTGCCTCAAATGCGCATGCGCAAACACTAGCTACTTAATTGAATATTTCTTACAGACATCTCACTAAATGGTAAGTAAGAATAGCACATTTTCACTTTGAATTGTTTTAAAGATATATCCAATCTGAGCTTGCTCAGGAAAGAATGCTTTCAAACAAATTGCAGGGTGTTTTTTGTTTTTTATTTAGTCAAAATGAGACAACCACCACCATCAACTGTAGCTTTAGCATGTTAGCATGACCAGCTTAGGTTCAACAGGTTCTTGCTAGATACTACATTATTTTAACATTCACAGTGGTGTGTGTTTGAACTCACTGATTTATTTAACACAAAAATATAAATGCGTGTTTTCAGTCAGTATTAAAATTTATTACAAGGTCAAAGTGGACTACTTATTGAAAATCTTAAAAAGCTCAATTAACTATCGATATGTGCAGTCACATGGTTGGAAAGTTTTTTTTTTACGTTGTTTTAGTGTTTGGAATATTGTTTCCTTCCTTAAAGGTTCAAACACAAGCACAAAGAAAAAAAATTCGTACATACATGGCTTTAATTATGTAATTTGCCTATTCCATGGACATGCAGGGTCATTTAACTGCATGCTGGTCAATAAAGTTTTTGTCCACTACAAAACCACGACAAACTTCTTAAAAGCTGCATAAAGTTATTCAAAATACGATATATTTATTAAAGTCTCATTTGGGATTAATGAAAGCTCTTTTAGATTCATGATAATGAAGGAAAAGGCCATTTTGCTGTTTGTTTATTTCATGCAGAACTTTATGAAAACTACAATGGTTTTAAAAGTACACATTTTTCTGCTTATCTAAACCCTTGTAAATATGTTGAGCTGAAGGTGCTTTGGAGTGTTGTCGTTACTATTATAGTATTAAGGAATATTTCTTAAATATTTTATATTAATGGCAGGAACCGGCATATTGTCACGTTTAGAGTCGGAAGCCAAAAAACTGCGCACTATCATGCTATCATCTGTTAGCTCCTTCTAACCCCGAAAATTGGCTTTTGTCGTCTTTTGGTCGGTGATACCATTATTTATTTCATTCGGTTTATTGCTTGTAGTACTATTAGTAGACTCATACCCATGGTGTGATTATCTTTTTATAATCCGTCTTAAAATGTTTGGATTAAACCGTTGTTGTTGTTAGCATGTTGGCTAACACGCTGCCGTCTGTTTCCCAGCAGCCAATAGGAAGTGTTCATTACGCCGCAAAGCATTGTGGGTATGGCAAGGAAACTTATGTTATACATATTTTTAAGTTCATAAACGGCTTAATTCTTGAATCTGGGGCTATATAATCGCTTTATTTTGTGTTATCTCCGTCTGAGTGTTTAAATAGAAAACCGGATATAAACATGAATTATTATGCTATTAAAAGCGGCACGAGTCTCAAACAAAACCGGTCAGTTTTTGTAGAAATTGTACCTTTTGATTTGTTTTGGTATCTGATATTTTTCGTTTGGATTTATATGTTAATTTATAATGAAAATACGCGTGAGATACGTTAAAAAAAACACGCGCACCGTCACCGAGAAGGACGTGTTCGTCAGTTATATAGGTGGGGATTGCTATGTGAAAGTTAAGACTATACTTTCAGGGATCATTTCTATAGTTCCTTACTTGAGAAATGTGTTTCTAAAGAGATGGTCTCGCTAACCACGATGATGAGTTGGTGATACTTCTTCCTGAGCGCGAAGCGGGCTGAGAGACTTGATTTATATCTTATGCTCTTAGCTTTTGATGACCGTTCACGTCTCCTTTGGGGACGATGAGGGAAGAAGTATGATCAGAGTGGTTTTGCTACTATGTCTAAAGAAAATGTGTCATTATACTCTTATGACTTCGTAGAGATCTACTATAGTATATATTAAATGAGTTAGTTGTTCAGAAGTCCTAAAATTGAAACATAGTACTACAAATTACAGGGGAATATTAACTTTATTCATATCAACAAATTACTCTGGGGATGGTGAGGGAAGAAGTTTGATCAGAGTGGTTTTGCTAACGTGTCTAAAGAAAATATGTCAGTATGCTCTTTTGTTTTAGTAAATATTAACTATGAAATAAACTTAGTGAGTTAGTTGTTCTAAAGTCCTAAAATTAAAAAATACTAGTTTAATTAAGTTAATTACAGGGGAATATTAACCTTATTAGTATCAACAAACTATTCTGGGGACGGTGAGGGAAGGAGTATGATCAGTATGGTTTTGCAAACATGTTGAAAGAAAATGTCTTAATATTATTTAGTATATTTTAACAATGAATTACAATGATTTAGTTAGTTTTTATAAAGTCCTGAAGTTGAAGCATAGTACTGTTTTAAATTAAGTTAAATACAGGCGATTCTTAACTTTATTAGTATCAACAGCCTATTCTGTGGACGTTGAGGGAAGGTGTATGATCAGAGTGGTTTTGGTAATATGTCTAAAGAAAATGTTTTATTATACTCTTATGACTTAGTAAAAATTATTTATAAAACACACTAATTGAGTTAGTTGTTCTAAAGTCCTACAATAAAAAAATACTGGTTTAATTAAGTTAATTACAGGTGAATATTAACTTTATTAGTATCAACAAACTACTCTGGGGACGAAGTATGATCAGAGTGGTTTTTGTTAACATGTCTAAAAAAATGACTTGGTTTACTCTTACAATCTGGAAAATATAAACAGTTAAATACAGTTTCAAAGTTAGTTGTTCTGGAGTCCTAAAATTAAAACATAGTGGTACTTTAATTAAGTTAATCACAGGTGAATATTAACTTTATTAGTATCAACAAAATTAATTCAACATCACATATCCACCTGAGAATAAACTAGATCTCTGAGAGAAAACGGTTATTTTTGTTATTTTATGTTATTTTTTCTTTGTTATTGGATAAGATATGTGATGATTTGATGATGGAATAGTATCGGGTAAATAAAAGAGACTAGAAAGTGTGTCCAGCTCTGTCTGAACCGCTTCCGACTGGTTGTGTTTTTGTCCCTGTTTTAACACACTAGATTTTGATTAAATAATCTATTAATCTATTAAAACCTTCAGCACAAAGAGCCCCGGAGTCTGAGGCCCGCTGTGGTGCTCTGGTCTGTTCAGCTGCACAAATTCAGCCTTTTAGGTTAAAATAAAGACTTGAGATTATGCTTTTTTACGGACAAAATATATTTATTTTTCTCCTTTTTATGCAACACACTGATATGTAATTTAGCCCTTTTTCCAGAAGTAGTGAATAAAAAGTACAGCTCAGTTATGAGAGAAATTGCTAAGATTTTTTAAATAGTTGCCGTGAAAGTAAAACTCATTAAAGGCGCGTGCACGAGTGAGTTTATGGAGCCAAAAATGACAAACTATGAGCGCTCTGCTCCATTAGGATCCATTTGTGTCCTGAAGACTAACAGCTGCTAGAAATATTCATAAAACACCAATAAATCTATGAGGAACGCTGACATTTATCTGATCTATAACGGATGCAGAGGGACAGGAATCCTGAAAATCAAAAGGAATTCTGAGGATCCGCACTTGAACAGATTTGCAGTGATTAAGTGTAACAGTAACTTTTATTTATTTCTGTGTCAGACTGACCTCCATTTGCTTCACTAAGAGACAGAAAGTGGGATTAGTTCTGCCATCAGACATTTAGCAGCTCTCTAAAGGAGCAGAACCAGGTTTTTAGAGCAGATAAATGCTGTTTTTTTAACTGGTGGAATGAGTGTTATATTGTTATCCAATCCAATCCAATCCACCTTAATTTATATAGCACGATTTAAACAAACACAAGGTTTTCCAAAGTGCTGCACAAAAACATATCCAAGAAAAAAAAATAACACAGAAGAAATTAAGCTAAAAGTAAAAAAAAAAATGCATGAGTATACATAAAATTATGTTATATTTTTAACAAATATATCTGCAAAACATACAACCTCATAAAATGGTTCAGATAACTTTTCCTGGATTATCCCACTTTTCTTTCAGGTGCTATTTATTGAATTTGCGTGACTTTTATTTGGAAAGGCCCGTAAACCCTTATCGGAATCACATGGAGGACATTTCCTAATATTTCCTCTGCTGCTCTCTGAGTTTGTCTCTGCGTTTGTTTTGCAGTAATTGTCATTAACACCCCTAAATCTCCTCTCAACCTGAGTTTTTGGCTGATCAGAGACCTAAAACGGTTTGGAAACTCAGCACAAACAGCCGGAGCTGGAGCGGTTGGTGGTGAACGCGTTATTCCTCCTGCACAGGGTTTTGTTTTCTGCTGTTGGAGGCGGGCCGTGAACCCACAGAAACGCTTTAAAAAAAGGAAAAGCCCCCCCCCCCCCCTCTCTGGATGGGCTGGCGTTGGGCTGCTGCCTGCTCTTGGTGATTGACGTGAGAAATGTGGGCAGGAACCCACTCAGCCTGCACGCTTCTGCCGGAGAGGGACTGT